GACCGCTTCGTTTCTGCACCATTTCCGTTTCTCCTCTCCTCTTTTTCTCTCCACGCTTGCCCTCTCCCCCTCCCCCTCGCCCCTGTATGTTTTTCTTTCTTCTCTTCTCTCCTTTCTCTCGTGAAAAGGGACGATCGATTCGAGAAATGAAAGGGACGCGAGAATCGAAGGGACCTTTTGTGCAGGCTCACCTTTGACTGCTTGGACCGAAACGAACGATCCTCGAGAGGACCAAGGAAGGCACAAGTGCTTTCGCGTCGTTCCTTTGTTCGGCTTCTTTGCGTTTTCGCGGTGATCAACGCGAAACTTGATATATTCCAAATGTGAATTTACGTAAGGAGAATGTAATTCCTTTGTTTTTTTTTTTTTTTTTTTTTAAATAGAAGCCTCGTAAACTTAAATTTCGATTGTCGTTTCGATCACTGCACGCGAACGGTGCAGCGTATATATTTACTCAGATTACGTGCGTACGACAGCCTAATAACCATATTTGAAATATAGTTATTCGACTAATACGTCGTAAGCTTGGAACTCGATAGTAGTATTAGTTCTACGCCGCGGACACACCTAGCTCGTTATTTCTCGCAATTTCCCGAAGACATAATTTCCACGTGTATGAAATTACATATCATTTTGTTCTCTAAACTCGAGCGAGCATATCCCGTGATATTTTACGTATCTGCGCTACCGGGGAAACCAGAAACTTGCAAAGTGGAACCGGGTTAATTGGATAGGATTTGCTCGCAATTTCAATTATCCGTATTCTCGTCAAATTTATTATCCCACTGTTTTCAACCTTTCCTCCGTTGATGGAGGTGACGATGATTGCTCAACTATCCAACGGCCCGCCTGGCAATAAGATCTCAATCCCGCGGCGTTCGAAAGAATTGACTTTTGAAATGATCAGAACGAGATTTTCCAAACTCGCGTGCACGGAAGGCTACGACATTCAACGACATTCCGACGTTCCACATTTGTCTGTGTGCGATAAATCACAGCGTGCGTTACCTGTCCATCAACGTTCGCAAAGCAGAGAACAGGTTCCAAATTCGCTTTCGATTCGCCGAAAAAGGATGTTCGTGCGCGCGAGACGCAAGAACAAGCTCGAGGAAGGCGCATGTACGCTTAAAGGGCAACTACGCATCGGAATCTGTTCTTGTGCGTCGATGCTTCGTTGATCAATCTTATTAATTAACACCCGTTAATTAATGGGTACGAAAGAAGACCGCTGAGAATATCCGTCTTTCATTGGTTTGACTTTATCTACTTGCTACTATGCGCGCCGACAGAACGAAGGAAGGAAGGAAGGAAGGAAGGAAAAAGAAAAAGGGAGAAGAAAATATCTCTGCTCCCCTATGGAAGTCCTTCGACGGCCAAAAACCCGAAAGAATGGTAAAACGTTGGTAGATCTCGATGAGAGGCCGCGCGGTGGCTCGTTAATTAACCTTGGTTCAAGTTGCGCCGCTCTTACGCAAGCCCTGTCATCCGGCCGTGACAATGGGCGGCGATTGGCAATCATAAAGAGATTCACCGTTTTGCGCGAGCGTCGCGCAATCTGAATAAAATATACGATCGAATCGATAGATAAAGGACAATGCTCTTTTCAGCGGCGGCTGAAGAAGGAGAGCAACCGCGAGAGCACGCTGCCGCCGGCGCGCGGAGGGTGCACGCGCACGAAGAAACACGGAAAAGAGAGAGGGAGATCGAGTGAGGAGTACTCCGACTCTCAGCCAGTCGACAAAGAGGCTCCTTCTATGCAAATTAAATGCTGTTTCCATAACCATTCGTCCGTTCCATTGAGTGAGGTTCGGTTCGCCCGTTCGCCCGGTTCTTTGTCATCAAGGTAAAGGGAACTTTCACAAGGGGCCGTTCTCGCTCGCCCGACCAGCCAGCCAACCAACCGACCCAATCCACCCACCCAGACCACCACCCATCCGCCAACTACCCTCTCTCCATTTCAATAACCGAAAGCTCAGCTCTCGCTTCTCCTATATGCTATTAATCAAAAGAACTTCCCCGACTTTTTTCGCTCTGTCTCTCTGCCACCCTCCTCCTTGCGTGCGTGTGTGTGTGTGTGTGTGTGTGTGTTTTTCCTCCATCGTGCGCGCCACCGTTTTCCCTCCGCTTCCCACCACTCTCTCCGTGGCCACCAAACACTGTCTCGACAAAACAAACGTCTCGTTCTTGCTTCTATCGTTAACGTTCTTCAGCTTCGGTTCCTTTCATCCACTCGATCGAGATCGAATGCAAAACAGTTATTTCAGTTTCTGTTTTGCCTAACTTTTCATCGGTCGCTTTCTATATCTTTCTCGTGTGTGGAAACACTGTATATAAGAACCGAACTGGGAACCGTTTTGACGGTAGCATGCATCTTGCTGACAAGTTGCTGCCGTCGTTCCAGAGGAATCGATTTAAAAGCGTTTAGTCCGTAAACGTTTACGGTTACTGCTGATACACTGGCCGTTAGAGAGACCTAACGATCCACTAAATTATCATACGCGCTCGTTCGTACGGCCGTCATAAGTCGCCCTAACTTATTGCCATTAAATTCAATGTCCGGATTGTTGGTGTTCATTAACCGACGGAGTGTCATAACGGCGGGCGCAACGGAGCGGAAGAAAAAGTGGAGCAACAGAGTATTCGACACACGAGCACGGATAATTGCGCAAAACCTTCGGCTACGTCCATGCTTCCACGTCCAATTTGTTCATTTACCATACTCTCAACTGTACTTCGAAATTCAATTTATTTCTAAGGACAACGGATCTAGCAATTACGCCAGTCGCTTAAACTGCGAGTAATCGGTTAAAAAAAAAAAAAAAAAAAAAAAAA